GAAGCCAAGACTCAGAGAGGGTGAGTGACCTGCCCAGGGCCACAGAGCAGGGCTGGGATCCGACCAAGCCCGGCTTCCTAACCTCAAGGCTTAAATGGCCCGTGGGTTTCTCTGGAGCTGCCTCCTCCATGCCAGGCCTGGGAGCCAGCAGCCACTCAACAAACGTCTCAACATCACGAGAGCGAGAGGCGAGCGAGCCTCGCCCCGAGCTCTCACCAAGGTGGTCTCACCTGCGTGTTACAGGGGGACCGAGGCCACCGAGGTTAAGCAAGTCGCTAAAGGGTGTGCAGGGATCTGAACCCCAGCCATCTGGCTCCTAGCTGGGCTGTCACCCACTATACCACGTGGCCATTCGAACAAGAACCCCATTCAAAGCGGCACGGCCACTGCCTTACTGAAAGGGACCTGGGAGATTAGGAAAGGCAGGTGACTTCAAAGGGCCCCTGGGAGGGGCTCTGGCCCCCGCACTGGGCACAGGGCTCACCTGGCAGAAGGTGGGCGTGTGGACCGCCGACAGTGCCCGGCGCAGGGCGTCCACGTCGCTGAAGCCGGGGGGCAGGCGGTCGACACAGAGGCAGCGGGAGTGCAGCAGGACGGGTGTCAGCTGCCCGGCGTCTGTCCAGTGCACGTAGAGGGTGCGCGGGCCCAGCGGCTTGCCCAGCAGGTCCGACTTGGCACGGGCGGCCGAGTCCTTCTTCATGTACTCGGCGAAGCCGTAGCCCTTGGAGTGGCCGGTGCGCTCGCTGTAGACCAGAAAGCAGCGCTCCAGGCTGCCGAAGGGCCGCACCAGCTCCTCGAACTGCTGCTGCGTGAAGCTGGGGGGCAGGTTGGCCACACACAGCAGGGCGTCCGTGGGCTGCAGCTGCACCGACAGCTCGCGCTCCCGCAGGTGGCTCTGGTGGAAGGCGCTGATGGCAGCCTCGGCCTGCTCCCCGTTCAGCAGGGTCACGAACGCTGCGGCGGGAGGGGGCAGGGCGTGGGGTCAGTGGGGGCCCTCGAGGGCCTGCCCCTTTGCCCGGCGGCTGCCCGCCACCTCCCTCTAAGCCTCCACGTGTGACCTCAGGATACCCAGCAACCAGAACATCTCAGGCACCGGCCGAACGGGATGGCTGCCAGGCTTGATGACTGCTACACGTGTCTCCTGCCTCTGTGGGGCCTGCTTCCTGCCCCTCATCCCTGCTCCCAACCCACAGCAGCGCTAGCCTACTGTGCGCCTGGCTGGGTCCTAAAGGCTGCTAACTCAGGTGACACGTGGGAGTGGTTAAGCATGTCGTCGCTGGAGCCCCTGAACAGCCCTGGGGTCCTCCTGACGACCACCATCTCACCAGCAAGAGAACATGCCCGGAGCAGCGCCTCGTGCCCGAGTGGAGGAGCCCGGACTTGAACCCAGGCAGGCAAACCCCAGAACCCTGCCCTGCACCCCTCCCTCACCACCTTTCCAGGCCACCAACACCTCTCAAATCCAGGCCCCCATCACCCGCCGCAGCCTCCGCCCCGCTGCCATTCCTGGTTTGCTCTCTCCACCCAGCGGCCACAGGGAACTTTCCAAAAGGATAACGAGACTGTGGCACAGTGATGCCTAGGGGTCTCTCATTGTAGGGGCCGGGGGCTCCTGTGCAGCCTGGCCCACTGGCCCTGCTGACCTCCTCTCCCATCTCCTGCTACTACTTCCTAGACCCTGCCGGGCACACTCCGCCTTGGGCCTCGGCGCCTGCTTTTCCCTGAGCGTGGAACACTGCCCTCCATGCTTCGTCACCTGGTTAACCCCACCCCACCCTTCAAGCGGCCTGCAAACATCACTTCCCCCACAAAGCCTCCCCTGACTGCTCCTGTTTCAGATCCCAGCCCTGTGCTCTCACAGGGCTCTGTGGCTTCTGGTCCAATGGTCATGTCGCCTCCATGTTGGCAGTGGTTTGAATGACAGCCTTCTTCGAATACTAGACTGTCTCCGTTCAGTTAACAGCTATGTCCCCAGTGCCCAGGACAGAACATTCAACAAACATTGTTGGAAGACTTTATGAATCAAAGTGTTCACTTAACTTCCGGATCCTCAATGCCTGGCACATGCTTACTAGGCACTCAGTAAATAGTGACGCGTTGCTCTTGCCAATATTTTACTAAGCGTCTACTAGGTGCCGCAGGTATTTTAGTGCGTGTGGCTTCATGGCTAACTCAAGCAGGTCATGCCCAATTTGCTGGGGAGAAAACTGAGGCTCAGGAGGGCACATCACTTGCCTGTGGCCTCAGGGACTTGAACCCAGGTCCATTTGCCTCCAGGGCCCAAGATCTTAACAACTACCCTAGCCTGTGAGGTGGGTCTCAAGGGGTGACCTGTCCTCAGCTGCTTCTCACCCATCTTACAGATGGCAAAAAACGGCCCTAGAAGGTTTAAGGCAGAGACATCCACGGAGAGCTTCCCATGCGAGGGGTGGGGCTGGGGGGGGCGGGTGCCAAGGCTGACGACACCCTTCCCTGTTCTCAGGGAACCAACCACTCGATGCAGGAGGCAGGTGAGTGAGAAGGTGACAATGGTCCAGGGTGACAGCGCTATGACGGGTGTGGTGTTCAGGGCACTGTGAAGATGGCAGAAGGGACAGCTAAGAACACTGGGAGAAGGGGGGGCGCCTGGGTGGCTCAGTCCGTTGGGCGTCTGACTTCGGCTCAGGTCATAATCTCATCAATTCATGGGTTCGAACCCTGTGTTCGGCTCTATGCTGACAGCTCTGAGCCTGGAGCTTGCTTTGGATTCTGTGTCTCCTTCTCTCTCTCTTTCTGCCCCTCCCCTGCTCGTGCTCTCTCTGTCACTCTCTCAAAAGTAAATAAACACTAAAATACGTACATACGTGTGTATATATATATAAAGAACATTGAGAGAAGGAACGGCCTGGAACCTTATGGGTGCCTGAGGTGCTGGTGAGTCTGGAGCACATCTCTGCAAGGCATTGTCAGTGACAGACCGGGACAACAATCTGTCCTGCCCTGGCCTAGGGGACAGTGTTGGGCCTGAAGTTCAGGAGAGGAAACACTGGGCCTGGACCCTCCCAGCTTTAGGGACTGTTGCCTCTTGCCACTAGCCCAACCCACACGCCCCACAAACCTGTCCCTTTGTATTTGTCCACAAAACAGTACTTGAGCTCATAGGCGCTGAGCAGGTCGTGCACTTCCTGCGGAGAAAGAAGCCAGAGGATATGGTGTCACCAGGGGCTGAAGGACGCAAGCCGGTGCCACCTCCACGTGGACCAGCTAAGACGGCAGATCAATTACCAGACCCGTTTTACAAAGGAGGACACCCCAGCAAATGAGGTATTAACCCATTCGGTAGATGAAGGAACTGAGGCACAGAGAGGAGAAGGAATGTGTCCAAAATCCTGTAGTCGGTCGGGGCAGCAGAGGGAATGCCACCCACGGGTACCTGACTGGGGACCCTGTGTACTTAATAAGCCCACACTACATGGCTTCACCTGCCTCCCAATTCCCTCCTGCCGACAGGGCTGGCCTTCCTGTAAACCAACTTCGAGGCCGAGCTCTGGGGCCAGCTACTGCCAGGCATACCGTGCACCCTGCAGGAGGTACAGGGCTCTCAGCTGAGATGGCAGGCACTAGGAGCACCGCTCTAGAAAAAGCTAGACCATGCTTAGTGGCACCTGACCTAGGTCTGTCGCCAAGTCACACCCCTTCCCTTCTGGGACCCCACCAGCCATGTGCCTACCTATGGGCACGGAGAGTCAGTGACAGATGTGCAGGTGGGTGAGAGAGCAGAGATTTTTCAGCAGCAGGGAGAAAGAACCCCCCCCCCAACTGTGGCGCGGCAGGGCAGGGCAGACTAGATGCAATCTCCTTGGGTCCAAAGAGCACTGGGAAGCCCTGCCCCATGTAGGCCCCAAAAGAAGGGCACCTCTGGCCATATTAGTGGGGGGTGGGGGACAAAGAACAGTGCCCCCCCTTTCCCACAGGTCTTTGTGCTGGGGACAGGAGACTCCATTTTTCTCAAATTAATCCAGGGACTTTGGGGGAAGAAAGACTCCACAAGCTACTACAACTTCCGGATCTCAGAGGAGATAAACGCGTGCTAGGGAAAGGCATACTCTAGCCAACCCTGAACCTTCTGGATACGAGGTCCTGCAACCCCAAGGTAGAGGGGGTGGGGGAAAACACAACCAGAGGAGGGACCACCTGCCATCCCTACCTCCACAGCCCTAGTATAGCAGCCCATTCACAATTCCCCAAGCCCAAAGTTGCCCGCCCCCTTCCATTCCCTGCCCCCTTAGATAACTTGGTTTCGTCCAAGCCCGTGGTCGCCCCTAGCAACGTCCTCCCTCACTCCAAAGTTGGTTTCTCCCTCCATCACCGCCCCCCCTCAATCCTGCTCTTGGTTTCTCCCGATCCCGCACAGATCCCGCGCTTGGACTCTCCGCCGACGCCCCTCAACGCAGCCCAGTGTTGGTGTCGTCCGGTTCCCCCCGCGCACGCGCACGGTGGTATTTCCCGCCACGCTCTTTCCCCCCCCCCATACCTGGTTGGTCACGTCCCCCGGGAGGCCCCGGATCAGTATCTTGCGGCGGTTACGGAACTGGCGCTCGGTATGTTCTAGGCGTTTCCGGATCTCCTCTGGATCTAGCGGCGGCAGTTCTTCTTCGGGTGCCCGGCGCTCTGCGGCATCATCAGCTTCAACCTCGGCCCCAGTCTCCGGGCTCAGCGGGGGCCGGTGAGTAACGGACACGTCGGCCGCCATCTTGGGAAACCCGGCGCCTTCTGGGACCAGCGAGCCTGGGCGGAGCGGCATAGAGCGGCAACGAGGGCGCGTCCGCCGATTGGCCGGGAGAAGCCCCACCCCCTTCTCCACCCCCTCAGCCCATTGGCTAAGGCCCAGCCCGCCTCTTAGACTTCAAGCCGCTTCTGGGCGCCACAGGCCCCACCCCTTTCTGCCAATAAGTTGTCACTCAAAGAACGCGAAGCGCAGTGTGCGAGCTCCTCAGCGCAAGTGGAATCAAGCAGCAGACTCCGGATTTTGAGGGCTTTATTGGTGCGGAACCCCGGGATACAGCCAAACCCCCATCGTTGGTCCAGCATCCCCCAGGTTCGAGGTTCAGGATGGCTCCTCCCCCACAGGCTCCTCCCCCACAGGCTCCTCCCCCACGGGCTCCACCCCCACAGGCACCTCGGGCTGCCTAGACGTCAGGGGCAACCAAGTGCTCCCCTTGTTAACATGGTAACTGTCACCCCGCTTCTGAATCCAGAAGACGTACGCTAAGGCCGTGCCGGTAGTCACCAGCCCCAGGATCGTCAACACCACCATGGCGATGGTGGCGGCATGGGGATTCCGACCTATGCAGAGAAGCAAGGAGTAAATACACGCACTCTGCCCGCCCCGGGTTGCCTGTCTAGACCCGCAACCCCGTTTTGGCTCACCCTGAACGTTCATCACCACGATTACAGTGTGTGTGCCTCGTGAGCTGACGGCCCGGCAGGAGTAGGTACCACTGTAGTTTAACGTGACGGTGAATGGGAACCCGACGCGCACTTCCTTCCAGGAGCCTTCCTTAAAACAGTGCACCTGGGGGTCCGGGTTGCCCCGGGCCTGGCACTGCAGGACTTGGGTGGTCCTGGCTTCCCACGTCAAGTGCTGGGGACATTTGGCTTGGTCAATCTTGGGACCGTCTGTGGAACGATCAAATGATTAGACACACTGGAGGCACAGCGTGGCAAGGAAGAGCGCTATCTGCTCACCAAACCAGGGGAGCAAGGTCTTAAAGGTCTGAGTGACCTACTCACACAGGACACGCAGCTGGACGCTCCTGTTCCTGTGTAAGATCTCCCCATCCACCTCGAGTGTGGCATTGCAGAAGAAGTTGCGCCGGTCATCCCTCTCCGTGGCGTTTAGCTGGAGCTGGACCGGCTGGCCAGGGCCCGCAGCGGGAACTCCGTCCAGCGTGACCTGGGCTCGGGCCCCGGCCACGCAAGTCACAGTCACTTCGGCCCCCTCGGAGGCGTTGGAGTTACTCAGGTTTAGGATGGGCCCCCAGAAGCCTAAAGGCAGGACGTTGCCCTGGAGTTTACTGACCACCCCACATCGGCCAATCCGCGCCCTCCATACGCCTGTTTCCTTTCGGGGTATCCAGGCCATGCCTTTCTGCTACTCTGCCATCCCCACAGCACCCTCCCCCGCTCCATCCAACTGGGGACACTCGGACTATAGCCTTAGTCCCTTAGGCCCCGCCCACACTACAACCCCTCCCACTCTGGACGCGCAGGCCCCACCTTTCCAGCTTAATCTTGGTTATCTATGCAGCGCCTTTCGGGCTACCGAGGCCGCGCCCCCTTGTCTCGCCCGTAGAGCCGTTTTGGCTCCGCCCCCTCTTACTGTAGACGGTCAAGTTCTCCCGGGCCTGCCGGCTGTCGCTCCCCAGTGTCATGTTGCAGACAATCTCCCGGGCGCCCTTCTGCTCCGCGCTCACTGTAGCTGTAGCTGTGGCCGTGATCGTATCCCCGTCGCTCTCGACTGCAGGATTCAGCATCTGGTTCCCCAGCGCCAGCTGGACCTGGACCTCGGAGGCCGGGAACAGACCATCCAAGGTGCAGCTCGCGGAAAACGTCGTTCCCACTTCCAAGAGCCGGGGGACAACGAGGTGTGGGGAGGTCATGGGCAGGGCTGGGGAGACGGGTAGGCGTAAGCAGGAGGGCGGCTCCCAGAGCCGTGGACGCCCCTCTTCTCATGACAAGCTCCCTACCCCCAACCATGGTCCTGTCCCAGAATACCTTGAGGCCTGGGTCACCCCCTTCCCAGAACGCACCCGCAGAGCCTTCTAGGCTACCGCGGCCGGGAATTTTCCCACTGGAGCTGCACGGTCCAGTGCAAGGGCATGCCTTCCTAGAAGCCGCTGAGGTCCAGTCCACTCCATTTTCCGAACCCTCCCGACCAGAGCCCCTCTACTCTGGCTTAGCTCATAACCCACCGTCTGCAGTCCCTTCCCTCACCAAAGGTTCGCAGCTGCCGGGGGGCCGAGCTGTTCTGGAACAGTTCCAGCCCTCGGGACCGCAGGTCCAGTTCTGTGCGGCACGAGAAATTGGCGAGGTGGTCGTCTCTGCCCGCCAGCACCGTGACCGTGGCCTCCGCGGGCTCCCCGACGGCCGGCTGCCGGCTCAGCTCCTCCTCCCCGCGGAGCAGCACCACCGTGAGGTTGGCCCGAGGCGCCCCGCCAGCCACCAGGCAGCGCAGGGTGAGGTGTTCGCCCACGGGCTGCCAGGTGGGTAGGGGTGCCAGCTCCACCCGCTCAGGGAACCCTGGGGTAGATTTGAGGGAAGGGGGGGGATAATTGCACTTAGCAGCCAGCCCTGCAACCGCCACCACAGAGAGTAGAGAGGGGGCCGAGGGGACCCCTGTGCAGAACTAAAATTTTGAGTTAATAAACCCCGAGGGCTTACTTAGTATATGCCTGTAGAAAGAGTGTTTGCTATTGTCATTTAGCATCATGATTATTATTTCTTGTTCGTGGGACACCTTGCCAGGCATTGAAATAAAAGATTTTCTGTTCTGGAGAAATTCAGTTAAGAAAAAGAAAGGAAAAAAAAAAAAAAAGGAAGGAAGGAAGAGGACTAGCTTATGACCACACACAACCTTAGTACTCATAAAAGTTCCTGTTTATTTAGAGTTTTCCTTAGACTTTCCCATTTAAAAAGTTTTTAAAGTTTATTTATTTATTTTGATAGAGAACAGAGCATATGAGTGGGGGAGGGACAGAGAGAGAAGGGGAGAGGGAGAGGGAGAGGGAGAGAGGGAGAGAGAGAGAGAGAGAGAGAGAGAGAGAGAGAGAGAGAATCCCCAGGCAGGCTTTTAGTGCTGACAGCACAGAGCCCGATGTGGGTCTGGAACTCACAAACTGTGAGATCAAGACCTGAGCCGAGGTCAAGAGCTGACGCTTAACTGACTGAGTCCCCCAGGCGCCCCCCTTAGGCTTTCCAAATGTCATCCACATTCACTCACGGGCAACCAAGTGAACTCTTCACTATTATTCTTCTCCTTTACAGATGGAGAACCTGAGGCCCAGAGAGGCGAGGGTGAGGTGATCAACCCAAAGACACGTAGCCAGAAAGGGGCCCAGCTGGGTTTAGAAGGTGAGTCTCCCAAACTCCAGACCCATGTATTCACCTGCCTCCTTTTTTTTTTTTTTAAGATTATTTATTTTTGAGAGTGGTGGGGGTGGGGGGACAGAGGGTCCAAAGCAGCCTCTGTGCTGACAGCAGACAGCCCGACGCGGGGCTCGAACTCATGCACCAAACCATGAGATCATGACCCGAGCTGAAGTCAGACGCTTAACCGACTGAGCCACCCAGGTGCCTAGTCACTTGCCTCCTTGATGTCACATCTAGGGACTCCCATTGCCACTCCCAGCTTCTGGCTTGGACTCTGGCCTTGGCCTCTCCCAGAGCTTGGCCCGGCCCCACCTCAATCAGTCTGAGGCACTCCAGGCTCTTACCCGGGCAGCCTCTCAGGGTGCTCTGACACAGTCACGACGGACTTGACACCCCCCCGGGCTGAGTCCCCTCCCTGCCACAACCACAGTGCCCCACTGAGGCACATGTACCAAACCCTGGTACATCTCATACCTTCAATGATTCAAGCCCGAATCTCAGCTCTCACACAGAGGCCATGCACTGGCTGCCATGACAAATATTTCACGTCTTGCTACAGGGAAGTATAGCTTTTCAAAAGTTCCTTATCACGACTTCACATTTATGAAAGACTTGCGTTAGGCAGCACCTGTTTTCACTAACGGAAGGAAATCTGAAGAGGATTTTCGCTTTTAAGAAAAATGGCAGGGGCGCCTGGGTGGCTCAGTCGGTTAAACGTCCGACTGCGGCTCAGGTCATGATCTCGTGGCTCATGAGTTTGAGCCCCATGTCGGGCTCTGTGCTGACAGCCAGCTCGAAGCCTGGAGCCTGTCTTCAGATTCTGTGTCTCCCTCCCTCTCTTTCTCTCTGACCCTCCCCTGCTCACGCTGTCTCTCTCTCAGAAATAAATAAAAAAACATTTAAAAAATTAAAAGGAAAAAAAGAAAAATGGCAAAAAGCGAAAATAGCACGCGGCCTTGGTGCTGCAGTGAGCAGTTAGACAGAGAGCAGGCCCCTTGCGCCGGGAGAGCAGCACCGCCAGGCTTGGCGTCTCGGCCGCAAGCCGCTGGGGCTCTGACCTTTGTGAGCATCAGTGCTGTGCCTCCATTTATGCCGGGCATCCGTTAGCAGGATGTGTCCTAAGGTCTCAGGAAAGACTAGGAGGGGCACCTGGGTGGCTCAGGCAGTTACGCGTCGGACTCTTGATTTGGGCTCAGGTCATGATCTCATAATCTCACGGTTCATGAGTTCGAGCCCCGCACTGACAGCATGGAGCCTGCTTGGGATTGTCTCTCTCCCTGCCTCTCCTCCATGAGCATGCACGCTCTCTCTCTCTCTAAGTAATAAACTTAAAAAAAAAAAAAAGCCTAAGAGAGGTTATTTTTGGGGTCTGGGAATGCTTCACATTTTTTTCAATATAAATGAACTGCTTCCCCACTTTATATCATTTTGACTTACAAAAGGCTTCATAGGAATGCTTTACTTTTGGACCGGAGGAGAAACTTTTATTTACGGTTTTAGGATATTTCACAAAGAGGCCTCACAAAGAGGCACAAAGAGGTGTGAGCCTCGGGCACCACCGGTCAGAGATGATGAGAGGCCAGCAAATGCCAGGAGTGCTCGGGAACTCGGGGCTGGGGTGGGGTGGGCTAGCCCCCCTATGGAACATACGCCCATTTCTGCAGTGTAAACATAGACTCAACGGCTGCTTTTCATCTGCCCAGCGGGACACAGGGTCGGGAAACGATGAGAGCCCCACGGACACACATACTGACATAGAAACACACGCTCCCACAGGCACATACGCAGGCGTGGACACCAACACACAGACACGTACATTCACATTCACACTCGTACACACAGACACGCAGGTACACTCAAACAGACACACAGAGATAGACACACGTGCATACACTCACACACACACACTCACACACACAGGTACACAAACAGACACTGGGCCACCACAGGAGCCTACACATGGTCGCATGCCTACACTGCACTTACCTAGGAAGGCTTCACAAAACAGTAGGTACCCTGAGCGTCCGTACTGTTTCCTAGTCTGTTGTGTTCTTTTAAATGCAGAGGGATTCGGGCAGGAACCATAAGGAACTGAGTGCGCCTGGGTGGTGCAGTCAGTTAAGCGTCCGACTTCAGCTTGGGGCATGATCTCACGGTTCGTGAGTTCGAGCCCCGCATCAGGCTCTGTGCTGATGGCTCAAAGCCTGCTTCACATCTGTGTCTGCCCCCCCTTCTCTGCCCCTTTCCCACCGGTTCTTGCTCTCTATCTCAAAATAAATAAACATTAAAAAAAAAGAAAAGAAAAGAAAAACTGGTAACAGTGGGGTCTGGGAAGCAAGACTCATCTGTCAGGAGCAAGGACTTGAGGGAAAGACTACCAGCTTCCCCCGGCTGTGACCCTGACAAGTGACCTTACCCCATTGAGCCTTAAGTTCCTCATCTGTGAAATGGGGCTCCTAAGTTGTACCTCCCCAGCCTGGGGCTTTTTAAAGACTGAATGAGCCTCTAGTGTTCATACTTAAAACAGGGACCCCTCAGAGCACCTGGGTGGCTCAGTCGGTTAAGCATCCGACTTCGGCTCAGGTCATGATCTCACAGTTCGTGGGTTCGAGCCCCGCGTCGGGCTCTGTGCTGACAGCTAGTTCAGAGCCTGGAGCCTGTTTCAGATTCTGTGTCTCCTTCTCTCTCTGACCCTCCCCTGCTCATGCTGTCTCTGTCTCAGAAATAAATAAAACATTAAAAAAAAAAAACCAAAACAGGGACCCCTCACAGCCAGCGCGAGGCAATGGAGGTTTAACACTCACACCTTTGTGTACTGTTGGACTTTGAATTTTGGAACTACCTGCATGAATTACTAACCCATGAAAATAAAAGTAATACATAAACGACCCCAGCTACCATTGAAGAATGCTTGTTGGGATGTAAATTGGTTTCACGGCTGCTGCCCTGGCATAAGATTGGGATGCATCTCTCTGTCTCTGTCTCTGTCTCTCTCTCTCACACACACACACACATTCGGGTCCAAGCTCTGGGTCAGAGCCCTAGTTCCTTTCTGCAAACTCAGGGTTCTCTGCTCCCCCACACCACTGGCCATAGACCCCCACTACTGCCCAAGACCAGCGCCACCTCCGGGCACAATCACTCACGGTAGACTGTGATGACCGAGGAGCCTATCATCTGGAGCGTGTCACAGAAGCCGGAGCAGAGGACCAGGCTGTCACTAGTCACATTGCTGACCTGGAAGGCTGCCCAGCCCAGGCCGTTGGCCACTGGCTGCTTGCTTAGGGATGTCTCTAGGATGATGAGTTTGGGCTGGGGGCAATCTGTGCTGCAGTTTACCAAGAAGGACCCCCCCGCAGGCAGCACAGGGTTGTGGGGCTCCACCCTCAGTGAGAACTCCTGCCCCCGGGTGCCTGTGGGAACGGAGGGACACTGCTGTTAGTTCCAGTGCCTCGGGCCACCCACCCGCAGGCCCCACCTTTTACCACCACCTCCCCGCCGTCGTCGTGGTGCTTTGGTCCGGTGGGGAAGACAGATGATTGATCAGGAACTGGGGGATGTCTCCGAGGAAGGCTAGGGGACACCCTGATTTAGACTGTAGGAGAAAGGGCATCAGGGAAGGCTCCCTGGAGGAGAGGGCAGATTGGGCCAATTCAGGAGGGAAAGTAGGAAATGATCATCTGAATGAAGGGGAAGTGATCCTGGCAGAGGGAAAAGGAGAGACAGGGCTCCAGGAAGGGACTGTGTGTGTGTGTGTGTGTGTGTGTGTGTGTGTTGGGGCAGGGGACAAATCACACGCAGGGCAGCCCTGAAGGCTGAGGTAAGGAAGCCCTAACTTTCTGTTGAGGCCGCTGACGAGTCCCCCGCCAGGTGGGAGTTTAAGGAAGTGTTGTAGCAGCCGGGGCCACAGGATGTGGGGAGCTTCGCTTTTTCCATCCCCCCCACCTCCAGCGAGCCCCCAACTCCAGCCCTCCCCAGGCTGACTCGCCTCACCTGGGGGCAGCAGACAGCAGACCAGGAGCAGGGAGCTGAGTGTGGTCCCGCAGGCCCCAGGCAGCAGCCCTGTGGGCGACATGGTGGCCAACCTGCAGAAGGAAGTTGCCTTGACGAGGGACAGGCCGGCTGGGGCAGGCGGGGCACCCAGGCGACGGAAGCACAGCCGCAGTGGTGAAAATTACAGAAGTCCGGGGGCTGCCCTGCGCCCAGACCCGGGGAAAGGGAAAGGCGGGGGAGATGCTCTGTGGCCCAGAGGGTCCAGGGTGGGGGACCCGGCGACGTGGAGGATGCTGGGGAGTCCTGGACGGGACAAGACCTGACCTAACACCGCTGGCCTCTAGATGCACTGACGGGAAGTGCTAACGCGCTTTGTTCTCAGCACAAGGAAGCCTGGGGTGCGGTGGAGGAGGTGATGAGGCACCTCCTTCCTGCTGCCCTTGGGTGAAGGGGGGTGTCCTGTTCCCAGAGAGGAAGCTAACAGGGGATCATGTCCTTGAGGTGATAAGGCGGCATTTCAAGGTGACAATGGGGGGGACCTCTGCGCAGGGTCCGAAAGCGTAGTGTGAGATCTCGATATTCCTTGGGAGGGAGCAAATAAGAAATTTGGGGGTGATAACTGAGCGACCCCTAAGATGAGGGAAGACACGAAAAAGAACAGAGCCTACGTTTATCAGGCCCTGTGCATGGCTCTGTGTTGACTGTCGGAGTGGCTACTGTGGGGCCCTTTACCTTTGAGGATCTCGGCGGACCCCCCACTCCCTGTGTGACATGCTGAGGCCGGGTGTTGGGGTACAGCTGAGTCCTGAGCCAGCATCTGTCAAGGATGCTGCTTGCAACTGGCCCTTACCCCTGCCCTCAACCCCCGTTGCCCACCCCTGCAGGCAGCTGGTTTCTCCACCCCAAGAGAAGGGACTGGGGGGCCCGGGGGTCACTAGTACGTCCATCTGCTGCATCTCTCCAGCTCTGACCTTCCCTGTGCCTCTGATCGGAGCTCCAGAGACGGACTGGCCGAGGTCCCTGATAGCACCCAGCACCCACCCGCTCTCCCCCCTCTGAGGCCACGCCCCTTCCCCTCTCAGCTGAAGCATCCCCCTCCAGTCGGGTCTCCCCCCCCATCCATTTCCCACAAAGTCCCGCGAGAGCGACTGAAACGAAAATCAAAAGTAGCTGTAAATCATCCTGGTATCCCCCACTTTTCTAAAGTTCCGTTACGCCACTTCACGTTTACGAAAGATCTGCATTAGTGCCTGTTTTTGTTGAACCCAAAGAAATCTGAAAAGAATTTGCCCTTTTATGAGAAAAGAAGAAAAGCAAAAACAGTACTCGGCATTGGTTTTGCAGTGGGCGTCACAGAGGCAGGGAGAGCGACCCCGCCTCGCTCCCTCGCGGGGATTGCACGGGGCACCTCAGCCCCCAGGGCTCTGACCCGTGTCTGTGCGCATCTGTATTTTATCTTGACCCATCCCGTGCCTCGGTTAGTGGGATGTGCCCTAAGGTCTCAGAAAAAACTGAGAGAGGTTCTTCTTCGGGTCTGGGAACGCCAACAATTTTTTTCTCTATAAATTAATGATAATTACTTCCTCGCTTTAAGCCATTTGGGCTTACAAAAGGCTTCATGGGAATGCCTTCCTTTTGTATGGCGTGTGAAACCTGTATATCTCATAAAGGATTATATCCAGATTACAGAAATTCCTGGAAGTTATAGAGGAAATTAGCAGGGGATCTCCAGACAGGCACTTTCCTTGAGGTGAGAAGGTGGGATTTCAGTGCAACATTTCAAGCGGGCCATAGGGAGGCTACAAGGCAGGTTAGCGTGAGAGGTCATATTCCTGGGGGGGTGGGGGCCAAATAAGGGATAACAAGTCAATAACTCAACAACAACCAATTAAAAATGGGCAGAGGGGCGCCTGGGTGACTCAAGTCGGTTAAGCGTCTGACTTTAGTTCAGGTCATGATCTCACAGTTCGTGGGTTCGAGCCCCATGTTGGGCTCTGTGCTGACAGCCAGCTCAGAGCCTGGTGCCTGCTTCAGATTGTGTGTGTGTGTCTCTCTCTGACCCTCCCCTGCTCACGCTGTCTGTCTCTCTCTCAAAAAAAAAAAAATAAATAAAACATTTAAAAAATTTAAAAAATGGGCAGAGGACTTGAGTAGACATTTAATTTTTAAATTTTTTTTTATATTAGAGAGAGGGTGCGTAGGTGGCTCAGTTGGTTGAGCATCTGACTCTTGGTTTTGGCTCCGGTCATGATCTCAAAGTTCATGGGTTCAAGCCCCACACTGGAGTCTACGCTGATAGTGCTAGAGCCTGCTTGGGATTCTTTCTCTCTCCTTCTCTATCTGCCCCTCCCCTGCTTGTGCCGTCACGCTCTCTCTCTCAAAATAAATAAATAAACTTAAAAAAAATTATTTTGGGGAGCACCTGGGTGGCTCAGACGGTTCAAGCCCCGCATCGGGCTCTGTGCCGACAGCTAGCTCAGAGCCTGGAGCCTGTTTCAGATTCTGTGGCTCCCTCTCTCTCTGCCCCTCCCCAGCTTATGCCTTCTCTCTCTCTGTCTCAAAAATAAAATAAACGTTAAAAAAATAATAAATTGGAGAGAGAGAGAGAGCAGGTGTAGGGGAGAGGGGCAGAGGGAGAGAGAGAGAACCTTAAGGAGGCTGCAAGCCCAGCATGGAGCCTGACACAGGGCTCGATCCCACGACCCTGGGATCAAGACCTGAGTCGAAATCAAAAGCCAGATGCTCAACTGACTGAGTCACCGAGGTGCCCCTAGACATTTCTTCAAAGAGGCGATATAAATGGTCCCTAAACACACACAAAAACCAGAATCAGATAGCACTTCTTACATATTAGGACGGCTACATCCTAAAACCACAGAAAGTGGCAAGTGTTAACAAGGATGTGAAGGAGCTGGGATCCTCATACATGGCTGGTGGGAATATAAAATGGGGCAGCCACTGTGGAAAATAGTTGGGCTGTTCCTCTAAAAGTTGAATGGAGCATTATAAGGGGCGCCTGGGGGGCTCAGTTGGTTAAGCATCCGACTTCGGCTCAGGTCATGATCTCACAGTTCATGGGTTCGAGCCCCACGTCGGGCTCTGTGCTGACAGCTCAGAGCCTGGAGCCTGCTTCGGATTCTGTGTCTCCGTCTCTCTCTCTCTGCCCATCTGGCACTCACTCACTCTCTCTCTCTGTCTCTCAAAAGTAAGTAAACACTTAAAAAAATAAAAAAGAAGAAACAATTGTAATCTAAATACTCCCAGGCTACACAATGCTATTGAAGATTTATTATTAAACTTTTTAGGTGTGATAATGATTGCAGTTATTGTTTGTGGTTAGATCTTTTTCAAGATACGTATGGGAATGTTTACAGGGAAAATGATGTCTGGGGTTTGCTTCAAAATTCTCCAGTGGCGGGGAAGGATGGGGATGGAGCTCAAACACACTCGGCAGTGGGCACCGGAAACTGATGACGTCGGCTCTTAAGTTCAGGTTTGTTACCTTATTCTTCCCTAGGGGTTTTGCATGTGCTTTACACTGTCCACAATACAACTTTTTTCTTAAGTAGCCACACAAGAATAAGCAAGCTAATTTGGAAAGAGACTGCCCTATCAAATATCAAAATACATCCTAGGGGCAGCATCTTTTACCAAGTGGCCAGTTACCAGGCTTGATCCTGAGAGCAGCCATTCCCATTGAGAATTTGTGCTACAGATAACCTTGAACGAGGCTAAAGTGATGTAGCATGTGGTTACTCACTGCAACAGCATCGAGAACAGGGCAAAGGATTAGAAGTGACCAGTGACCCCCGGAAGAGAACGGACGCTAACGTTTCAATGGTGGGCCACCACACGGCCATGAACTAGAACAAGGAAGCACTGTCAGCCTACATATATGGAACCATCTCAAAGACCTATAGCAGGCGGGGGGGAAAAAAAGGGTTCTGTATAGTAGTAGCACCTAGTACTATTAAAAAAATTTTTTTTGTGGGGGAGTGGGGTGGGGTGCCTAGGTGGCTCAGTCAGTTAAGTGTCTGACCAGCTCAAGTCATGATCCCACAGCTTGTGAGTTTGAGCCCCACAACGGGCTCAGAGCTTGGAGCCTGCTTCAAATCCTGTGTCTCCCCCTTTCTTCCCTTCTCTCTCTCTGTTCCTCCCCTGCTCATGCTCTGTCTCTCTGTCAAAAGTAAACATTAAAAAAAAAAATTAAGTAGGCTCCACACCTATCATGGGGCTTGAACTCACAACCCCAAGATCGAGAGTCACGTGCTCTACCTATTGAGCCAGCCAGGCGCTCTGCATGTTCCTATTCTTCCCAAGGATGAGAGGGCCTAGTGTGTGTACAGATTTCCTTGTATCTGGACGAAGTGTCTCTGGAAGCGAAAACAGGAAAGCAGATGACTTTAGTTGCCTTCGAGGAGATGACAGCAGTGGCTAATAGGGACATTGCACTGCTTTTCAATACTACCTACTCTCCCGCCCAATTTATAATTGTGATGCCAATTTAATATGCAAGCTGTTATAAAAAGCAGGTTATCAGTACATTAGCATGGGGTTGTCTGGATGAGGGGAGATGCCACGCACGAGGTCTTGAGAAGTCAGATGAGAAAGAAAAGTCTTTTGCTGCCTTTCGCGGTATGGTGGCCACGTGTCCCGTCTCAAGTGCATGTGTTCAGGAGAGCGGCTTTGGCCGACGCCAGGTTAACGATCGTATCAAATGTTTATTAAGTACTTGTTTGCAGGTGCTTTTGCTGAGAGTCTGACGTGAAGGACCTCATTAGCTATTTACATTAGTCTCTGAGGTAGTGAGCGTGACCACCCCCAGCTCATAGCTGAGAAGTAAGGCTCAGAGAAGGAAAGCCATTTGCCTGAAGTCGCACAGGGAGGAAAGGGTAGGTCTGGCAGTCTTGTCTCTGTGGCATGTCCCCCCCACCGCCTCGTGCCCCACCCTCCCCCACCCCCATTCTTTGTTCATCTATTTACCAAGTAGTTATTGAGAGCCTTCTGTGTCCCAGGCACTGGCCTGCTAGTGGGTGATTCCGAGGTGAACAAAGCTTAAAGAGTTCAGCCCTGTCTCTTCTGCAGAATCTTGCCGTAGCTGCAGTCCCCAGGGGCACAAACACTTGCTGAAGAAGGGCCCAACGGGCACAGCCTCCAGCAGAGAAAATGGGGGTTTATTACCTGCTAGTGGAAACGGTGGGTCCTCAGGAGGGAGGGGGGAGGTGAAAAGTTCGGATTCGAGGGCCTGCGTAGGTCCTTGCTTGTCCTGGGTCCCTCAGGAGCCTGTGCTGGGCTCATAACCCTGGAAGCTGCTACAGTCTGACGCTGTGCGTCCCCTCAAACTTCTTTAAGTAGGCTTCACGCCTGGTGCAGAGCCCAACACAGGGCTTGAACTCACGACCCTGAGATCAGACCTGAGCTGAGATCAAGAGTCGGATGCTTAAGCACCTGAGCCGCCCAGCGCCCAGCAGATCGCTTATGTTGAGACCCTAATGCACGGTGTGATGGTATCAGGAGGTGGGCCTTTGGCAGCTGCTAGGTTACGAGAGCCGAGGCTTCATAAGTGTCTTTGTAAAAGGGACCCCAGAGAGACCCCGAGCCCTCTCCCACCCTGTGAGGACACAGCCAGCAGGTGTGGGCCAGGCACCGGAATGTGACTACGCTGACGTCTTCACCTTGGATGGTGCAGCCTGCAGAGCTGTCAGACATGAGTTTCTGTCTGTGAGCACCTCCATCAGTGCAGTGGTGCAGCACCCCAAATGGCCCAAGACAGAAGGAATGTCAATTCACAGAGGTGGGGTCTCCAGACAGGAAGAAGGTGAGATGGTGAGGCCAATCTCTCCCCCTTGGGCTCCTCTTGGGGCGGGAAGCCCTCTCCCCGGTGCCTGCTCCGATCCCCCCGAGGGCTGCCGGCCGGCTTCAGCACACACTGAACACCGAGGCGGCCTGGCCCTGGTATTTCTCCTGGACCGTCTTGAGAATGGGTATGAGGTTCTGGAAGGTGGGGCGGAATGAGGCCTCTGCTTCCCAGCAGTTCTTCATGAGGATATAGATCTGGGGAGGAAAGGACTGGAAATGCGATGGCCGCTCTTTCTGCAGTGGCCGATGGGGAGGTGGACAGGAGGAGTGGGGGTCTCACCTCGCAAGGACATTTCTCTGGCCGTGGCAGCCTCTCCCCTCGCTCCAGCAGCTCAGTGAGCCTCAGCACTGTCATCTGCCCTTGGGTGAGGCCTATGAGCTCGATGAATTTCTACCCAAAAACAAGACAAGGTCTATTCAGGAAGCGTGTCTACGTAGGCAGAGGTCAGGGGCTCGCAACTGCTGGGCTTCTAGTCCCGCTTCTGCTGCTTCTTGGAGCAGAACTTTACATTTATGACTTCATCTCCCTGGGCCTTGGTTTACTCACCTGTAAAATGTGGCGGTAACGTCTACCACTGGGGTTACTGTAGAAGTTAGGTAACTAACATTCATATAGTAAGTCTGAAACAGCTGTTTGCTATTAAGCCTCTCTGCAAACTTTTTACTTATCCAGAATCCTTTTTTTTAAAAAGACTTTAATCTCTAAACCCAACGTGGGGCTCGAACCCAATGTCCGGATATCAAGAGCTGCATCCTTTCTTGACTGAGCCAGCAAAAGCCCCTGTCCAGAATGCCCCACCCTTGGCGCGCCTGGGTGGCTTAGTCGGTTAAGCGTCCAACTTCAGCTCAGGTCATGATATCACGGTTAGTGGGTTCGAGCCCCACATCAGGCTCTGTGCTGACAGCCAGCTCAGAGCCTGGAGCCTGTCTCAGAGTCTGTGCCTCCCTCTCTCTTTCTCAGAAATAAAACATTAAAAGAAAAAAACCCAAAAAACAGAATGCCCTACCCCCCTTACAATGGCCCTAGGATTTGCTCTGGAATGAACTTTTAGCGGAGCTTTGGCTCCTCCCCCAACCCAGCCTGGCCAATAACGATGGCCCGTGGCTACACAGTGATTGGTCCCGTGGTGGACATATGAGCCAAGCTGGGCCAATCATAAAGTCCTAAACTACGTGAGGTTGGGGTCGGGGAGAGAGAGATGGCCCTTTGGTCCCATCAGCGGCCAGGATGGGTACCTGGAGGCCAAGGGACCACTTTTGCCACAACAGAGCAGGGTGAGGACCTGCCCGAGAGATGCGACCACAGAGAAGGACGCAGACAGGGAAGATGGGACTCCTGCTGACATCTGAGGGTCTACGTCAAGCTCCGCCCCCTGTCTCCCATGAGTCTGCAAATAATGGAATATGCTGTTTCTATTTGAGTGGCTTTCTATCACAGTCCAAGCCCCCTACACTGCAAGGGGCTCGTTTTACATACGGGGACTGTGAGGCCCAGGTGGATTAAGCACTTGTTAAAGTGGAGGGGCTAGGAATCCAAAGTATGCCTTTTTAACTCCTCTGGAATGGGGTGGGGCCGAGGGCCCGGCTCTCACCGAAGGGGGGCTCTGGCTGGAGTCACAGTAGGTCAGGAGCTCATACATGGTGACCCCGAAGGACCAGACGTCAGATGCATAGTAGAACTTACACTCCTTCAGGCACTCCGGCGCATACCTGGGGGGAGGGGCACTCAGGCCTTGGGCCAGACCAGGTTAGAGACCTTACCCGGGGCTTGGGAGCTCTTGGTCCCAGTTAGGGCCCCACCCTGAGGGGGGGCGGGGGGCAGTTTCACTGGACCAGGCCCTGTCATCTGAGACCCCAGCTTCCAGCTCCTTCCCCCTGTCTGCTCCAGGTGACCCCGCCACCCCACTCCAGCTGGTCCTGTCTGGTCACCAGAATACGGGGCTGTCCCCATCTTCGCGCACACGGTAGTACTCATGGCCTTCGGGCACAGCCTTGGCTAGGCCAAAGTCTCCGATTTTGACCAGCCTGTCGTTGTCTAGCAGCACGTTGCGGGCAGCCAGGTCTCGGTGGACGTAGTGCTGTGCGTGAAGGTAGGCCATGCCCTGGGGGAAGGGCGAGCCAGGATCAGTGGGGCTCAGTGGGGCGGGGTAGAGCCTGAGGAGTCACGACCAGGATCGGAAGGGGAGGGGGCGATCGGGTCAGGATGGCGAGGAGCAGGTGCGGGAGCGGCAGGATGGCTGGTGCAGCCCAGCAAAAGGGAGGAGCGGTGGCGGCAGGGGTGGGAGAATTGGGAGGGACTGGGTTGCCAGGCGTGCCCGAGAGGGCGCAGAGATTCCGGGCGAGTGGAAACTGGGGGCGTTGGGGAGCCGGCCCACGGCTGGGGCCTGGTGAGCTGACCGTATGGGACCCTCAGGCCAGGCCAAAAAGGAGGCGGCAGGCTCAAGGACCAGGGGCCACTGGCCCACCTCACAGATCTGCTGGGCGAAGAGCAGCAGCTGCGCCAGTCCGACGTTGTGCCGGGGAAGGTAGTCCCGGAGGCTGCCCAGAGGCACGTACTCCATGACAAGCTGCACCGACTTCTCTCCTGATGCAGAAGGGGGCCCGGGCGAGCGATGGAGCCTGGAGCCGGGAGCTGGGGGCCGCCCATGCTGAGCCCCGCAGCGCCCCCGCCCCGCCCCAGGTGAGGCCCTGACTCGGCCACTCCAGGCCCGGTCCTCAGGTGGGACAGCTCACCCCGAACCTCAACCCCGGGTCCTCAGGTGAGGGAACGGAAGGTTCCTCGCACCCATCCAGGCCCCAGCAGCTGGCCAAGGTGGGAAGTAGGCAGCGCGTCTCACCCACCCACGCGCACCCGCCCGAGCGCGTCCCCTAGCCAGAGGCTCTAATTGGGCCAGGTCCTGTGGCCCCGCCCACCGAGCCCCGCCCACCTTGGTCCTCACAGCAGCCCTTGTATTTGACGATGTGCTTGTGGTAGAGCGTGCGCAGGATGTCGATCTCCCGCCTCCAGCCGGTGCGGAGCTGGGGGCCCCCGCCCGCCTTGAGCGCCTTCACAGCCACCATCTCGCCGGTGCCATCGTTAGTCGGGTCGTAGCAATACAGACTGACCTTGCCGAAATGACCCTGGCCCCAGAGCACGCAGGAGGGTCGGCCCTACTCTGGCTTCCCAGGCCCCAC